TCAAGACTTCATCAGATTTTCTCCAGAGGCCTGTAAGGCTTATTCTAGGACTATAATATCTAGTAATGTCTACTCCTGGGAAAGTCATTAATTCTGAAAACTTCAACAGCTATATATTTCCTTATGTTTGACTAGCAACCTAACTCTACATCTTGTTTCCCTCACACAGCCTTATATTCATATGATGCCTTAATCAATACAAGACCAACCTGTAGCACATTATTTTCTCAGATTTGTTGCTATAAACAGTGGCAATCTCTAAGAAGACTGGTCTGTGTATGCAAAATACCAGTTCAAGAATCCTACCGCAAACATTAAACTAAAAAGCTCTCTGCAGTAAACAGTGTTCTGACAAGAGCAACAGAAAAATGGTTCACTTTTTGCACATTCTTTTTTCCCTACCATAGTAAGCAAGGCCTTGCCTACTGCTGCTTAACAGAATATCTTTACAAATGTAAATGTCATCGCTTTTGCTTTGCATACATTTTTAGTTTAAATTGCAGTTGTATTGCAGTTGCTAAGAATCTGATGAAGTCTGATTCTGTGAAATTTCTTTGAAGACAAATGTTCAGTCTAATGGCACTGATCAAGTTGGTTCTGAGAACAGTTTACCAGACTGCCGTGTGCCGTATGTGCACTTGTACTCTGTGGCTGTGACCATGCTGCTATTTCACCCATGAATAAAAAGTTTCCCTACAAGTGCAATTCAGACTTCTTGTAATTAAAGTTGTGTTAATATAAGCGAATATATTATTCTTCAACTACTATAGCTTCTGTATGGTTTAACATGATAGAAATAACAATCTTGATATCTCTCTCAATTAAATATTTTCTTTAATAGCAATTTCTTTAATTTTCTAATTATTATTATTTTTAGTTACTAGAGAGTAACAAAGCACCCCTACTGCAGAATTTGCATTAAAGGTAATGAACCGAAAACTAATTTTCTGCATTTTCACTACATTTTATGATATGACTAATGATAATTTTTCATTATAAAATTTAAGCAAATAACTTTGCACTCCTTTTTTCAACAGAGCTTCTGTAATTAGTGATTTATGTTTATTAAATTATTTAAATTTTTGTCACATATCAAGGACAATCTACCATATGTTTTACACTAATTAGTACTTTGTTTATTTCAAGAATTCCATTAGTTCAGGAGCTACTTTTTAAACAGAGCCAGTATGGAAAAGGAGACTTTACCTGAGTTTTGTGAAGAATAAATAAGGTTCTTCTTCTTTATAAATTGCCCACTCTGGCAGACACATACCCAAATCCTCAGCAGATGATTCAGATAGAGAGACAAGTGAGTTCTAGATACAATACAATTATGTAGTTTGTATTTAAAAAACACAGAATTAAGTGGAAGTGAATATACTTCTATGTGCAACATCCATTGGTTTATAAATGTTATCCTTTCTTTCAAAATGAGAAAAATAAATATAATGCACATGATACATATTTAAATGGGGCTAAGAAATGAGCTTTACTGTTTCTATCATGGCTAGAGTATTTTGTTAGTCCTAGAATGACGTCTACCTTTACAGATCATCTCTGGTCTTTCTTATAAGTAGCTTTGTACTTTCTTGGGAATCACTGTACATTAAGAGTCCCCTTGGCCATCATTGTCTACATCTCTTATTGCTGATATGAAGTCCTTCTAAATAAGACTTGATACTATACCAACCTTATTTAGTAAACACATAATTTCTGAACAATGATGATGTCCAAATGCTAGGATGTTCTAATAGTACTTGTGTATTCAGACAAAAAAAAAGAAAATAGGATCAGAAAAGGAGCATTTATACCTCAGAAAAGCATTTGTGAATATATAAATCAATTTCTATGCAGAGCCTTGTTTGATATATATTCCAAATAGTTTATAACTTATGATTTGTAACAATAGCAATTTGTGTGGTCAACCACCCATGATCTTTTCTTAGTTCACAGACGCAACAGAAAATTCAGAAAATTTGACATTTTCTGCCTTTTCATCCACTGTGCTTTGATAAATTTACTTTAAATTTAGTCTGTTGGACATATAAGAAAGCTTCTTTAGAGTTCTCATTTGTTCTGCATAGATACATTTCATCAGGCTGATATGATATAGTGCAACATAAAACCATGCAAAGCCATGGAACTTGTCTGATTAATTTGGTTGGAGACTTAAATTCAAAACTATTTTGCTATATTGAAGCTGATAAAACTATCCTAGGATGCAAGATGATTTGTTCTATTTACACATGGCTTCTAGCAATAGGTAACAATATAGTATTGTAGTTCATGTAATCATTTCAATTTTATTTAGATAATAAATATGTATATATAATTTTTCTGATTGTTAACATGTTAGGTGAAAATATTTTGTTTATATATCGTAGTGCAATACAGGAGAAAAATTACAGAAATATGTGTAAAAGTGGGTCTATAAAGGCCTCCACATCAGTTTTTATATAGAATTAGTATGTTTTACTTCATACAGTGATGTTTGTATATTTACATACTTTCTAATTGTATATGGGTAGATTTTTTTTATTTTCAGCGTGCTAGTGTCAAAACCCTAGCATGCTGAACAAATGCAGGTGGAAATAAATGTCATGATAAACAATTTTTTGTTTACCTCTCTGACATTCCAGGACCCTGAGAGTTTTGTTTATTTTTTTGTGTGTTTCCCATCAGGATGAGCAATTCCTATTTCCCTGAGAATTTGAACTTAATTTTCCTAAGTTATAGGTGCTTATAACCTTTACTCACTAACATAATTCATTATTTCTTAGTAGTTTTCTACAGAAATTAATTCACATACTTTATCTTTCAATAATGAGGAAGAATTTTTATTTAATGTACTTTCATTATAAATTTTTCTGCATTTTTTAACTCTTGTGTTTTCTATTGAGAAGTCTAATATAGCAGGGTTTCTCTAGGCAGAAATTTCTGAGTTGAGAGATGCTACACCCAGTCTAATCACAGGTTAATTTTGAAATAACTTGGGGCTTATGAATGTTTTTTTCCATCTGGATGCTGCTACCAAGCATGTTGCTGTCCCAAGAAATATCACACGAAGGCCGACGTGTGATATGCTAACAGAGTTTTTTCTTAGTAGTTTTAATGGCAGCTCAAAATTAAAATTTGAGTCTTTTGAGAAAACTAAGCCATGAAAACTTAAGCAAAAATCTTCAGCTGAAATTTAAGAAAATAAAGATATTAGAAAAAACAAGGTCTGAAAAGATATTTTCAGCTAATGTCTCCTTTCCTTGAAATCTTCACACACTCCATTAAAAAAAACCAAACACTTTTTTTAATTTTAAAATTTCATCTGAGTGATTTTCTTTCTTCTCTAAGCTTTGCCAAGCTTGCTGTACTCTGTTCTCCCTAAAAATTAATTCTCATCTTTTTTAGTGTTTCTCTTCTCCTTTGATACTAATATTTGATTTTTAATATTGCTTTCCTACAAGGTTCTCTGATCTAGTAATCAGTTCTTGAATTAAGTCTTCAGGATCTATTTATCGTAGAATTAGCAGTAGACATTATAGGCTTTGCAGCTTTGTTAGAAAAAAATTCCATTCCTCTGATTTCAAAATAAAGGGACAAACTAGTGAGTTTTGTGGAACTCAGCAGTGTCCGTGGAGCATATAAATTGCAGTATCTGAATGCTAACGTAACTTGGCTACATTTTGACTCTAAATCCTGGTGGTTGGCCGGTTGGTATTTTAATCAGCACAAACTGCTTATTTTGAATGAGATTCCCCTGCATTTACACTGGCCTATTAAAGTCTGTTTCACTTCCTGACCTTGAGAAATTTGAAAACATACTTTCCAAATAGTTATTTGTTTAAAAAAGACAAGAAAAGAGTAATTGACTTAGATTTGTAAGATTGGGTTTCAGGGAACAGTATAGATATTGCATCACTACCCATATTATTTCACAAAATGTGAAAAGCTGAAAAAATACATTTCAGTTGTATATTAGATGGCCCCATTCCTTAAGTTAATGGTACCTAAACATTTCTATGTCCCTGTAAATTAGAAAATATTTTTACATTATTGATTACATCTTTATTCTTCAGATCAGTTTCAAATTTTCTTGGTAGAGTTTAAACAGCTATGTGACTGCACAGAATTAGTTTGTGATATTTTTCTATGTTACTCAGAAAAAGATAGGTCATATTCTGATATTATTTGAAGAGTAACTGAGCAAAACACTATCAAAGGATATACTATTAAAAGACGTGTTGGCATAGAAGTATTAACTCCTTTTTGTAGATTTATATGTCTGGATGCATTTAAGACTAAATGAACCTGTTATGAGCACAGGAATAACAAATTCTTGGTGTATATAGATAAAATAAACCACTTCAATTAGTAATGAAAGGTAATCAGTACACTCTGTTATCAATAGGTATGTTAAAAGTAACTCTTAGAAATTGCAACAAAAGAAAAAAAGTTATTTAGTTTCCTCTTTTTGTTAAAATTATAAAAGAAAAATCTATCTTATAATACAAAGTAAACCTAGAAGAGTTTTGCATTTAGCCTGTTCCTAATGCTATTTTTACTGGCATAAACTTGTAAAGCAGCAAATATTTGAAAAATTGCAGTACCCAAAACAAAGAGCATAATTTTGAGCAAATGTTGTGTAAAATCAAGGTTTGAAATTTTGAGGACAGATTATTACCTTGAGTAAATTCTCATTCTTCAAAATTACATAGTTTTACAGGGACTTGTGCAGCTGAACTATGAGCATCTCCCAGGATAGAGATAAAGTGACAGAGACTGAGTGGCCTCTTTTTGGATAATGTGTTCCAGCACTTAATCAAAGTCATTGTGAAAAAGAAAACGTGAAAAACAGTAGAGGAGTTTAAAAACAGTGTGCTGATTTTACCTTGGAGTAGGAAGGAGGATGAAGTAGATTGTCATATTTGAGTCTGTATGTCTATGATTTTATGATTTTTGTGATAACTGATTCTGCAAATAATATATTTTTCTGCTTTTAATTGCAGCAGGAAAAGAATCAGGAAAGCTCAAGAAATAAAGGTAAGTGACAATTATTTAAAAAATGTGCACATTCTTATAATTATCACAAACCTAACATTCATTATTGTTAAGAAATATCCAGATGGTTTGTTTACTGAGTATTTTGGTATTTGAAATGAAAAAAAATATATCCAGGAAAGAGGTTGAAATGTAGACAGTATCTGTATTAGCTACCGTTTTTGGAACTCTGAGATGAACAAGGCTGACTGCTGTAGTCTGGATGGGATAGGCTGCACACTTAACTTCTCACAAAGTTTGTCCCTGACTATGGATGCTTATTATACTTCAGTAAAACATCAGTGCCATCAATTTATTGTCTTTCTTTCCATTCGGTAAATCTGTAACTGGATGTGATTCCAGTTTATGCATAAATTAATAATTTCCTTAATAGATTGCCTTGCAACGTGACTATTGTGTTTTTTACCTACAAAATATTTTCACTGTACCTTACTCAGTGCCAGTGACTAAGCACTATGTGAAATAGAACTGGGTTAAAGGAACTGCCTTGTATCAAGAAAATTAGGACTACATGCTTCTTTTTCTAATATAAAGTGTTTTAAGAGTCAAAACATTGAAATCTCTCAGTCAAAAATTTGCTAAGCAACCAATGAAAGACAAAATTGCCAATAGTGGCAAAGATTGTTCTCTTGATATTTTACTTCTTCATAGAGGTAGGATATGAGATACTTTAAAAGGGAAAACAGAGGGAAGGTAGGAGAAAGAACACCAGTTCTATGTTACAAAGAGAGGAGGGAATTAAGTGACAAACTAACCTATATCTTTTGTATTGCCTTAGGAAGCAATGTGTAATCATATCACCTGAGTTAGCTGTTCTTTATTCAGTTATTTATGTACTGCAGTACCCATTTATCTCAATTGGCTTGTTTTCCCCTCATGCTAAGGCTAGACACAAGCATCTAAAGACAAACTAAAGCTGATGGTTGATTGGAGTTGTGTCAGGACAATTACATTGTTCATGATGATACGATAATTTACATCATCTGAAGAACCTATAGTCCTTCACTTGAAGAGTTTGCATGGAAAAATAACTGAACCAAAAAATCCTCTTCAATTTCAGCCGATTTGTGATTTATAATTTTCTTTTCTGAGGTAATACAATATAAAGTTATATCATCTCTACGTGTAGTGAGTGTATCCACGATATATTGTTCAGAAACCTTTCATGTCTTATGACTTAATACAAATTATGAAAAAGACTGTGAAAACTCAGATGAGATTACAGAAATAAGATATTTGCTCTAAAATTAAGTATTCACAATTAAAAACTTTAAGCATTTATCTACAAAGAAGGATCCTGAAATGGGCCACTTTTTTGTTTTTATGATTTACTTAAGTTGTATTATGATGTTTGACAGTCTTTCTCCCACACCCCACCCCATCCTGTTGCCAGGTGGTCATTATGGTATGTATGTGAGCAATAAGTAAAAGTAGGAATAAACTAATGACCTAGGTGGGAGTACCTATCATATTCATTGACCGTTAGTCTAGTTAACTAACCACAGAAACAATTTTAAAAGGCTTGTAAAATATCACCCACATCTACATCCAAAGGAATGCAGTAAAGTCTGCTTCTTGAAGGAAGATATCCATTGTCTCCAAACAGGCAGTGAAATTGGTGCACAGCTGCACAAAGTTTGTTGTGATTTTATATGTAACCTCTCGTGGAAATTTTCAACTTACTAAACATCCTGCATGATATGCATGTCTCTGCCTAAACTAGCAATTCAACTTGGAAGATTTTAGTGGTCTGGAAGACTATTCATGCACAGAGTAGGCCTTACAACATAAACATATATCTACAGATATACTTTATTCTGTAATGCTTTTTTTGGATGCTTTTCTGATTGGGTTTTTTTGGCATTCTCTTTTCATATTCTTTAAACTAATTTTTTTTTTTCACATGCTCTTTTTCCATGTTATTGCAAAGTTTCAGAAATATATTTTTATTTCACTTGTAACTTACAGCATGTAGGATCTTTAAACTCTTTCTGCTTAAAATACTGGTTGATATGGATGAAACAAGACTAAATTAATATTTCAGCATAAACCTTCTTGTGTTGACAATGAATCACATGCAACATCTAAAGGTTTTGTGCTCTGCATGTGTTCTTGTGAGATAGCTAAATTATCCTCAGATTCTCAGGACAAGGTTCTAACAGTGTTCCTTACACTCTGCATATTGCTGCCACACTATGTGGTAAAAGGACTAAATGTTTTCTGTGGTTCCTTGACTGCTCTGACACTTTCAGAACCAGTGTTGTCTTCTTAATTCAGAGGAAAATTACAGCTCATCTCTGTAAAGTGAAACACTGGAGTCTCTATTGTGCCTCATAACTTCCATTTATACCAGTATTTCAGTGTCTAATTTTTATTAATGATTTCATTACATTGTATATTTATAAGAGGAGAGGATGTTGCAGCATAATTAAAGTCAAATGCTTTTTGACTTTAGTGGGATTAAGATATTAGTAACAAGGGCCATTCTGTATCTTTTACTATATTATAAATGGCAGTATTTTTTCATTTTACTTTATTTATTGCTATAAAATAAAACTGATTACTATTCATATTTTAGTAAAGATGTCCTTATTTTTCTGTAGTGTTTGTTTTTTCTCTTGCCATTTTTCTGACCTGTTTGTTTTTCCCATCTGTTACTTCTGCTGTCAGCCTCTAAGTCAATCACACCAGAAGAAAAGCCAATACTCAAACATACCCTATTCTGACAGTAACCCCATCTCTCTCTGATCTGTGATATTCTTTTTCTTGTTTTATTTAACAGGTAACAGATCTTTTTGTATACTGTTTGAGAAAAGCAACACTGCTTTTATGTAAAATAATATGTTAACATTATAAAATTTTAGTGTATGCTGGCAAACTTCCTTATACTTCTGATAATTTTTTGTGCATGAAAATGAGTATCACCAGTGCAAAATACAAATGAGACTAGTTTCATAACACTTCTGTAATATGAAAGAAATAGCAAGGCAAATAATCACCTACTAAACTTCGTTGAATTTTGCTTGCTGGTTTGGAGTCACAGTTCGACCTTCCTTACCTCTCTTTTCCAGTGTTAACTCCTTCAGACAAAAAAAATCCATTTTATTCCAAACCTATAGTGAAAGATAAAATAGATATTTTTATAATGAATTGAAAATATCAGAAATTGTATTATATTTAAGCAATGTGAAGAATTTTCCTCACAGCCTATGCTTGACTTTGGAGACATTCATGTGCTTTTAGTAAACAACATTATGAACTTTAAAGTGGAAATACTTTCTGACAATATTATTCTAGAAAACTTTTATTTCTGAGGTACCAGAAGGTTGACTAGTGAAACAAATCAACTATTTGCCAAACTTGAAAGGCATCACTATTCCTTTGATCAGAAAAAACATTAGCACACAGGAAACAACAAGCCACAAAATATTTCAGTTAAATGGTAGCATTTCAGATGATCAGTTCCTAAACTCAGTCACAGTTTGAATTACAGCACAATAGTTTTATTTTTTGAGAACTTAGAAGTCGATTTCAGTATAGATAAGCAGTTTGTAAGACCCATTTCCAAAGAAACCCAGCAAAATCTGAGAAAACAAATTCTGAATTTCTGCTGAGAGTAAGGTGATTGTTTTGTTGATATTGAAGAATGATATGATATTGAACACAAGTTGTGTAACTTTAAGCTATTTATTTTAGTAACGTAAAGAACACTCGCTGAAAGCTATAAAAAGTACTCCAGCAAAGATTTGGAAAAGATGCACTTTTTCACAGTATTTTCAAAATGTGCATGCAAATAATTTTAATGATAGTAACTCGAAGACTTTTACTTTAGTTAAGTGCACTTTAGATACAAACTGCATAGTATGCTGCTAAAATGTTTGCTAGCTACTATTGATCTGAGCTTTAAATGCCACTAACACTCAAAACTAAACAGATTAGAGAATTTTGACTGACATATTTTTAATTGCATCTTGAGTTTCTAATTATACTTAATATTTCTCATTTTATGCTTACCTTAGTAATCGGAATGTAAAACCATTGTTGACTCACAGATCAGTTTCAAAAACATAATTCTCTATGATTATGAACATATTGCCAGACTTTTCTGATATCATTAACAAACATCTGTTCCTTTTATAGTCTTTAGCTACCAAAACTAAAGGGGAAATCATATGGGCACCACGTGCATATCTTACTTGCTTTTTACTCCTTAAAAAGTTAGCATACCTGCACAACACTTGTGGCCCTGTCTGGGATTCCAAATTGGTGTAATCTTTTTCTATACAGTGATAAAGGTAAGACAAGAAGGAGTAAGAAAAGCTTGAGGTAGTTCAATATTGAAAGAATTTAAGGGACAAAACCAGTAAGGCCTTAATTAAATCAATAACTTGTAAAAATGAAATTGTATTTGGAGATAGTCTCAAATGCCAGTGGATGAACAAACAGATCTATCCTTCAGTATGTCTGGCTGTTATTATTTTTGATGACAGACAAAACTATGTATGTTCTGATGTAGAATATATGACATCAACATCCTTTGTCATGTTAAACCAATTAACTGTGGCAAAAAATATACTTCATTACTTTCTGTAATGTATCCAGTGACTCCTTACGTTTGCTCAGTCAAATTATTCTAAATTCGTATTTCACCAGTCATGTATTAATTGCATATTGTTAGAATATGAACTGCAATCCTCCTGGACTGAACTGATTAATGTTTTGGTTTGTTACACTGTAATAACCCTTCTGTACTAGAGCAGTACATTTCAGAAAAAAAAATGTAGTATTTTAGAGAATAAGTGTAACAGCGGGCAGGTTATTAAATGCTTGTTCAAGAATGTTGTTTTCATTGAAATGCAGCTACTAAATATTCTGACCTACTAGGTCTTTGTTTTGAAGTTTTTTTACTTTGTCATTATGTTCCAACTTAGTGAATAAACTTTCAAGAGTTGGTATGAGGTTCGTTTGAATTAAATGTGCCA